CGCCGCGGGGACACAGCCCCGGCTCCGCGCCGCCCGCGCCCGGGGAGCCGCGCTCCGGGCCCTCCTCGGGGCCGCCGTCGGGCTCGGGGCCGCGGGCCGCCTTCTTCACCTCCACGAAGGCGCTGCGCTTGGCCTCGCCGGTCTCCGGGCTGGGCGGCGCGAAGAGGCGCCCGCCCTCCTCCAGCCCGCAGTAGGAGCCGGCGGCGCGGTACTGCTGCTGCGGGGCGCAGCCCGGCTCCTCCTTGGGCGCCGCCGGCAGCCCCGGCCGCTCCGCCGGGAAGCGGCCCCGCGCCGCGCCGGGCCCGCGCTCCTCCTCCTCCGGGAAGCGCCGCTTCGCCTTCCCGGCCGCCGCCTCCGGGCCGCCCTCGGGGGGCGCCGGCCGCCCCGGGGAGCCGGCGCGCCCGCCGCGGGAGTTCTCCAGCTCCCGCGCCAGGTTGTGGAAGTCCGTGGAGGGCTTGGTGCTGGCGGCGGGGCCGCCGTCGGGCCCGGGGAAGGGGTGGTGCGGCGGCCCGCCGGGCTTGCCGAACTTGCCGGGCTCCTGCTCCTTGCCGGCGCCGTCCTTGGCGGCGGCGGCCTCGGCGGCGGGGCCGATGTCGGGGCCGTGCAGCCTCTTGGGGCAGCGGAACCGGAGGTGTGCGGCGAAGGGCAGTTCGAACTGGAAGCGCTGGCTGCACTCGGGGCAGGCGAAGGGCGGCGAGCCTGCGTCGGGCGGGCACGACAGACAGACACAGAGAGACAGAGAGAGCACCGTCAGCCGGGGCCACCGACGGCATGTCCGCCGAGAGTTTGGGCATCGGGAGCGGGGGATCCCGAAGCCGACCGCCGCCTCCCCATTCCCCCCGGCGGCAGGGATCCCCCTCCTTCCTCCCGCCCGGGGCACCCACCGTTGGTGCGGGCGGGGGCCCGGGCCGGGCCGAGCAGCAGCAGCTCGGTGAGCTCCTTCCCGTACCACACCAGCAGCTCCTCGTCCTTGGCGATGCGGCGTAGGGAGCGGTAAAAGAGCTGCCCGCTCTTGATGTAGGCCTCCAGGTTCTGCTCCTCCCGCTCCCGCGCCGACTGCACCAGCCGCAGCCACATCAGCCCCTCCGACGAGCCATTGGCCGCCGACGTGTCCACCTGAAACCCCGCGTTCATCGGGTCACCGCACCGAGAGACAGACAGACCGACCGACCGACCGACCGACAGCACGGGGCCAGGCAACAGCGGCTCTGCCCCCGGGGACAGCCTCCCCGGGCCGGACTGTGGCGAGCGGCTGGGCCCGGGGACGAGCGGCTCTTACCCGGAATATGTAGGGGACGGTGCGCTTGTCGGTGGACTTGAGGGCGATAAAGGCGATGCTGTCATACAGGGACGTGTGGCTCAGGACGCAGGGGCCGAAAATGGCATTTTCCGGGATGTCGCAGGTGGTGTAAACGCTGGTAAAAATGTCAGTCAAGCACTGCTGGACCGTCTTGGCATCCCCGTCCCATATTCCCCGCTGGACGCCGGCGTCCTCCATCCCTGCGGGCGGAGAGAGGGGCAGAGGAGCTGTTACCGCAGCGGGTCCCGCTCAGCGGTACACCGGGATGCCCCGGGAAACAAAATAAAATCGACTCGAATTATTAAACAGAACATTACGAAAAAAAACTCCAAAAAAATTTAAAAAAAATTAGAAAGATAGTAAAAAAAAAAAAAAAAGCAGGCGAGCAGTTTCTCCGGTTTGACAAAAATTTAAAGCAGGCTCGGAGCTGCGAGCAGAGGCGAGGAGCGGGGACTCTGCCGCGCTGATTTATTTTTTTAGATATCGCGGCGGAGCTGGTTCTGAGCCGGGACCCGGGAATCCCGCCGGCCGCGTCCTGTCCCGAGCAGGCTCCGGGTCTCCCTGGTGCAATCCCCGGAGCCGGGCCGGGCTGCGGGCTATGCCGGGGGAGCGGGTGGGTTCCAGCGGCTTGTCATTGTCGCCGACTGCGTGTCAGCTCACCTCCCGCTCCGCGCGACAAGGGGAACGTATGGCTGCTCATTATCATAATCCAGCACTTTCCCTCCGAGACTTTAATTAAAAGCAGCAAGCAGAGGTAATTATTTTTACCTCGACACGCTTATTTATGGAGCAGGGTGAGCCCCGGCTGCCGCGCGTTACGAGGGGAGGATGCGGGCGGCGGGCAGCTGGCGGGGCGCGGGCAGCGGGCAGGGTGCGGGGCCGGCGGCGCCGAGGCCGGGGAGGGAGCATCGCGCCTGGCTGCGGTGCCCTCGCCCTTCCCGACCAGATTAGCGCACGGCTGCCTCCCCCCGCCCCATCTGCCATCGAAATCCGTCATTCGGGGCCGGCTCGGCAAAAGACCGGTGCTCCTCCCGGTGCGCCTGCTGACGGCTGCCGCCGCTCGCACCGGGCACGGCTCCGCCGAGCCGCCGCTCCCCCCGCCGATTCCGGGGGGCGACCCGCACCGCCGGGAACTTCACCCCCCACCCCCCGGAGCGGCGGCGGGCGTCCCGGCCCCTCCCCGGGAGCGGAGGCCGGGGGAAAGGCGCTCCGGCCGCCTCCCCCCCCGCCGATTCCGGGGTGCGACCCGCACCGCCGGGAACTTCATCCCCCACCCCCCGGAGCGGCGGCCGGGGTCCCGGCCCCTCCCCGGGAGCGGAGGCCGGGGGAAAGGCGCTCCGGCCGCCTCCCCGGCGCCCTCCCCGTTCCGCCGCTGCCCGACGCATCCCTTCCCCGAAGGAACGATTTCTCCAAACGAAACCACCGGCAGCGAGCGGCCCCCGCCGAACTTTCCTCCCGGCGGCGGCGAGCCCCGCACGGCTCCCCACGGCGCCGCATCCCCCCGGCTCCCCGGGCCGCCCCCGGCCCCGCGGCGCTGCCTCCCCCGGGCCGCCCTTTGTCCGGGCCGGGCGGCGCCGGGGCCGCTCCCGGGGGCTCCCCCGCCGGTCCCCGCAGCCCGGGCGGGCCCGCCGGCAGCACGGCCATCCCCGGCATTGTTCCCGCTCCGGGGCGGCGGGGCCCCTCCGCCGGTACTCACCAGGGACGGTGGGGATAATCCTCGCCCCGAGAGTGGCACAAAGGCGGCTTCGGGCTGGCTGCCTCGGGCTCTCAGCGCCGCTCCATGCCGGGCCGGGCCGTGCGGGCGGCGGAGCGGGAGGCGCGCGGTGCAGACGGACCCGGTGCAGTGAGGGGCTGGCACGCAGACACACACTTTTTGTTTGCTGCACATAATCTGCCCAATGACGCGTGACAGCCCACGTCCCTCCCGTTAACCCCTTCGGGGCTGCCCGCTCGCCGCCC